TTTGACAAGGGCGCAGATCTGAGGGGACATTTCGTGAGCGAAAATGTTAGGAAGTAGTAGCTCTAGATGACCTGAAATGACACTTTTATATAGTAAAATTCATCGTCATCACATCACCATTTATAGTCAAAATGCAGCGCCAACAAATTTCTTATGATGTTTTACCAGCGATTTTCGGCAACCATAGATATCTAATTAATATGATGTATGATGTATATAGAAAATAAATATTAAAAAACATTGTCTTTGATGTATTTAATTTTGGCCTACCTACTTCAAAGCCATTAGTCCACACCATAGTTAAGGGCTGAGATGTTAACATTTGGGGAAATAGTACCTCTAGATTGCTGGAAATGACACTATTATTATAATAAAATTAATCATCATCGATCAAATTCATCGCTGTGATGTTCCATTGAAAATAAAACTGGATTGTCTTTGATGTATTTTTAATTTACTTTGCCGAAAACCAATCTTATTATTATTACATGCTTTTTCTCATACTTAAGTTAATAAAGGCACGCTCACTCGAGTAGTGTATTATAAATGCAGATTTTTGTGGGCAGAGAAAGAGTACTGGTTGTACATCACACATTCAATAAAACCTGAGTCATTTATGCAGTTCATTTCAACAATTTTCAGGCATGACACTATTACATTGCGGACGAAAATTGAGGAGACCACCCCCCCCCCCAACCCTTTTTCTTCTTCCAGATTAGTGCAAACTTCAATTTTAAAGGCTATACCACTTTGGTGGTATGTGGTTGTGCGAGTGAGATTAATTTTTGCCAAGGGCCCCCTTAAAAAACTTCAATAGTTGGTGCTTTGACAGTAGATTCTGCAATTATGTTCCATTCCCTTGATGTCCGAGGAAAGAATGACATCGTGATAGTCCCGATTTGAGTGAGGAATACTATATGCCTGGCTGTTTTCTGTGCGAGATGGAGCTGTATAATTTTTTGAGATTAAGTATTTGCTCATATTAATTGCTAAAAGATTATTGTGGATTTTACAGAACAAGTTGGCGAGTTTCAGCCAGAGTTTTCCATGATAAGTTCGTGGATCATGGCATTGCCACTAGCTGCACGTTCATATCTGTTAAGGGTGAACCTAGCAGCAGGGCGTTGAACTTTTTCTATTTTTCTTTTAAGAACGTCTGTGTGGGGATCCCAAACAACACTTCCGTATTCCAAAATTGGTCGGACAAGTGACTTGTAAGCTTGTTCTTTTACTTTTTGGTTATTAATATTTATGTTACGTCTGAGGAAATTTAGTGTATTGTTTGCTTTGACTGTGGTGCTGTCTATGTGCTTGTTCCATCTGAGATTTTTGGTAACTGTTATTCCTAGGTACTTGGCATGATCTACATGAGAAATTTGATGACCGTGGAGAGTATATGGATAATACTGTATGTGATTATGTTTTTCTTTCTTGTGATAATAATAACTTGGCATTTTTCTGGGTGGAATTCCATCATCCAGTCCCCCCCCCACCCCGGGATCTAGGCCTATGCCTGTGTTACACTGCCCTCACGAAGTTACTTCCTAAATAGTATGGTAAGAGGATTGGCGAGGACATCACTCAATTACTTGAGAAATCTTGGGTTGATGTTGTCTGGGCCTGAAGCCTTGCTTGGGTCCAGATTTTTAAGTAATTTGAGTACGCCAGAGGTTGACACATCTATGTCAGGCATATTTGGAAATTGGTATGGAGGTTGATTAGTTTTAAAGGTGGTTTCCCTAGTAATGGCTGACTGAAATTGATGGTTAAGAGCATCTGTCAAGAGTTTCCCCTCAGCTCTAATTGGCGAAACACCAGTGAAGTCTGATACCTTCTATCAAGCCATCCCAGAAGAGGTTCCATAGCTTGTCAACAGTTGAGTTAGATTCAGCATTAGCGATGATTTCTGCAAGTTTCTCAGTATGTTGAGGGAGTCCTGCCCATCCTGCTTTTTTATAATTTATAGAGGTACTCTTCGGCTAATGAGTACTGGGTAGTACGTTTTTAGGCCTGCCTTCTTCCATTAGGTTCTGAATAGCATGTCCTGTTGTTTTGAGTAGGGCAAACATAAAAATAATTCGATGGATATTGATAGTAGTAGTAGACATCATGGGGTTTATTTTTAAACAAGATTTGATGCAGATACACAGCGCACAGGAGGTCCACAGTATAATGTTTGAGGCACCAAAAAGACAAACGGAATTTTCGAAAATTTAAAATGGCCACCAGGGCTACCCATACAAAAACATTCTATAGAATTCTATAAAAAAAAAAAACAAAAACTATAGAATGTCTATAGCATAATTGTTTAGAAAATCTATAGAAAATTCTATAGAAATAACTATAGAAGCCCACTATAAAAAGCCTATTAAAATCTATTAAAACTATATTAAAAATCTATTAAAACTCTATTAAAAATCTATTAAAACTATATTAAAAATCTATTAAGAATATATAAAAAAAACTATAAAAATTTTTTTATAAAAACTCTATAAAAAATATATTAAAACTATATTAAGAAAATTATATAAAAAACTATGAAAATTCTATTAAAATTCTATAGAAAGTGTATGAAAATTTTATATAAAAAAAACCTTAAAAAAACTATAGAAAATCTATAAACAATTTTATAAAAACCACTTATAAATCTATAAACATTTTATAGAAAAAAAAACTATAAACTAGATTTGAACTCGTCACTGAGGACGAGTTTGGTGATCCGCAGTACTTTGACCCTAACGAAGCACGCGCGTTTTTGATTGAAAAGTATTATATGCTAAAACATGCTCTATTTAAAGAGTAATTTTGAGCGTTTTAAAAGAAATTTTAAAGGAAAAGAGTAATTTTGAGCATTTTAAGGACTTACGAATGTGTACACAGACGTCCTAACGTCCGTGCGCACGGTAGTATTAATACAGTGTCACAAACCCAACACATGTAACCGAAACGTAATTTCCAGCTTCAGTACGTGCTGTGGGCGTGGAAATGAGCGTACGGCGCGTAAATTTTGGAAGGTTTTGGAATATTCAAAATGACCTGAAACGTGCTTTAAATTATCTGAAAAGTGATATTAAGTTTTAAAATTTTAACGCACAAGTACGAATACCTTAAACGACGTGCCTGACGACGGTAATGACACATGAATTTAAACCTTGTCAAGTTGGTTGGAAATGCCACACAAATTTTGCCTTTACATTATACGAACTATCGGTCTGATAGTGTCGAAATACAGTCTGCCGCCCTCTATTTTCAATGTGTTTACATCTTTTAAGAAAGAAAGATGAGAAGGCTCTAAGAAAGCATTCTTTTTGACCATGATGACGTCATCAAAATAAAAAATAAAGAGACACGTCCGAAAGAGAATTGATTTAGCTATAACATACTCACAGGTGGGAGACAATCAATCAAGATAAGCGAGTACGTTCAAACGAGTATAAAAAGTAATAAAGTCATATATAAAAATTCAATTTTTCCTAATTCAAATGGCAATATGATGACGTCACAATGTCCGATCAGCCATTATGAAGTAAAAAATCGTATCTACAACTCATGTGCTTTCAGATTATATAACAAAAATAGGGGGTCACCTTTCATCCTAAGGATCTATAACTGATTGAAAATATTAATGGTTTTATGCATATATAAATGTTGACGCACGCGTACGTGCACGCTAAAAGGCGCGAACAGAAAATTAAGGTACATAACATTCAACCTTGACCTGAAGCTTATGCCACATCTAGATGTGTATAAGAGACAGGATAAATGTTGTTAAAACACAGATATACAGATACATACATACAGATATATATATATATAATATATATATATATATATATATATATATCTGTCTC